ACCAGAGATTTTGGTTTAGGGATGCTGGTGGCGCTGTGGTCTAAATCACAGAGCCTAGGGCTTGCCGATCAGAAGGTTGGCGGTTCAAATCCCTGTGACGGGGTGAGCTCCCGTTGCTCGGTCCCAGCTCCTGCCAACCTAGCAGTACGAAAGTATGCCAGTGCAAGTAGATAAATAGGTACCACTGCGGCGGGAAGGTAAACGGCGTTTCCGTGCGCTGCTCTGGTTTCGCCAGAAGTGGCTTAGTCATGCTGGCCACATGACCCGGAAAGCTGTCTGCGGACAAACGCCGGCTCCCTTGGCCTATAGAGTGAGATGAGTGCGCAACCCCAGAGTCAGCCATGACTGGTCAGGGGTCCCTTTACCTTTACTATTTGCATATAGAGAGCTGGATTATGCTGTGAAATAAATTCCTGCTTATATGTACGGACAGAAACAGGATTAAAACCACAGTGGTACCACTTAGGGAGGGAGCAAGCAACATTTGATTTGGGCTGGAACGCTATTGGTTCCTAGACTCACCTGACCTCTGCACAGTTTGTAGCAACAGCGCCACCCTCTGGCCGTCTGCAGTGCTGCTGTTGCTGCTGCAACATAGCAAGGAGCAGGCAGTGTCTCTTTCCCATGGGAAGCTGTTATTGTGGGAGAAAGAAATGCATCTCTGTCCTACAGGTGGAGCTCCCTGTTTCAAGTGACTCACACATTGTGGCTTCCCACAGTGGCTGCTGATGCCCCTTTTCATCTCCCCATGTTTCCTTATGTACACACACACATTGGATAATGGGCTCAGGGGTGGCAGGTTAGAGGGATGAGCAAGCTCATCATATTGGAGTAATATGTCTCAACCAAGTCACAAACCCAAAGCGCTCCTTTGTAATTTGTGCGCAAGCATTTCTGTCTGCTAAGAGAGCATCAGGCTAATTTGGGCAATATCACCAGCATAATCAACCTTCTCAAGCATTCATGTGCCGATAGATGTTTACTTCGTATGCATGGGAGTGCAGAAGAGTTGGATGAGTTCAGAAGGGTTGAGACGAGAATTTGATATTTATTATTATGGGAAGTGGGCAGGTAAAAATGGAATCGTGTTGCAGATAGGGAAACAGCAAAACAAAAATGGACATGTTGTGACTTTTCAGTGTCTGAGAGGTGAAATAATGAGATTCTGTGCCCACTTTCGTTAATATAATGGATTTGTGAGATGGGGAGCCATCAGTTTCAGGGGCTTCCTGTGTGGGTGGGAGGTGTTCTGCATGGTTTCTAGCTACAAAAAAAGCTGGGAGTTTGGTCACTTTCACAAGACTTAAAGTCAATCATAGGCAGGCTGCCATTTTGCCTCTAGTGCTATTGTATGAGCAATTCAGTCTGCACTGAAAGCAAAGGAGTTGTTTTGCGCTGTGTTGAGATTTTGAGTGACTTAAACAGCCTGCATAAATTGTGTGAAGGTGTTGAAAGCAGAAATGTGTCAGGAAAAACAACAGCCCAGTAGCACTTTGTATGGTGAACACACACACACACACACACACACACACACACACACATGCCTAAGCAGAGCATCTCATCATACTTTATCTCACATAACAGAAGCTAAAGGGTCACTTGTTTTGCAAGGCTGTAGGCTGCTCCTCTGAAAGCCATCATTTTAGCAAGCGGCCCGGCATCCTTGCTTGTGGCCATTTCCGCTTTTCTGTGTGACTGATAGTATTTATTTCAAGAAGTAAAACGCTAAACAAAAAGCACTGGTGGCAGAGCAGGGCTTGCTTGGAAAAGTGGAAGCCTCGCTGCAAAAACCAGGAGTGCAATTTGTGGAGGTAAAGGTCACACGCACACACTCTTCAAATTGACAGGAGATGTGGCCCCGAGCGGTGAGCAGCTAAGTCGTAGCCTGGCAGGGGTCACTGACTGTTTGGAAGCAAGGAGGCAACGCTGGAGCAGGTGGCTTCCAAATCACGTTCATGGCCAGCTGTTTGGTTGGTGGGGGTAGCAGACCCTTCAGGTGTCCCTATTTTCCAGAGACAATCCAGTATTTACAGAAGCCGTCCCAGTTCCTGCTTTGATCCTAGAATGTTCCTTAAGACGCGCCTATTTTCATCGAAGAAATGTTAGTGGGTATAGTTATGTGACCAGTGGCGGAGCTTCATGCTCCGGCACCGGGGGGTGGAGAGCAGGCGGGGGAGGGGTTGGCACGCGTCCCAGGGCCTGGCACGCCACCCACAGTGGCATGACACGCGTCCTGGGGGCGGGGCACGCCGCCTGCAGGTGCGTGGCACCCAGCGTGGGTGGAGGGGACCAGCCGCGATGGCACCCTACCGGGATCGTGCTGCCAGGGGCAGTGAGCTCCCCCCACACTCCTCTTCCTCTGCCAACGTATGCTGCCCCCCGAGCCAAGGAAATAAGTAACTATACATTGGTACCTCAGGTTAAGAACGTTCTGGAGGTCCGTTCTTAACCTGAAACTCTTCTTAACCTGAGGTACCACTTTAGCTAATGGGGCCTCCCGCTGCCGCCGCACGATTTCTGTTCTCATCCTGAAGCAAAGTTCTTAACCCGAGGTCCTATTTCTAGGTTAGCGGAGTCTGTAACCTGAAGCGTCTGTAACCCAAGGTACCACTGTACAACCTTGAGAAGACATCTGAAGGCAGCCCTGCATAGGAAAGTTTTTAAATGTTTAATGTTTTATTACAGTGGTACCTCAGATTACATACGCTTCAGGTTACGGATGCTTCAGGTTACAGACTCCGCTAACCCAGAAATAGTACCTCGGGTTAAGAACTTTGCTTCAGGATGAGAACAGAAATTGTGCAGCGGCGGTGCAGCGGCAGCAGGAGGCCCCCATTAGCTAAAGTGGTGCTTCAGGTTAAGAACGGACCTCTGGAACGAATTAAGTACTTAACCCGAGGTACCACTGTATGTTGTTATATATGTTGGGAGCTGCCCAGAGTGGCTGGGGAAACCTAGTCAGGTGGGTGGGGTATTAATAATAATAGTAGTAGTAATAATAATAGTTATTTTATCAGACATTTGTTGGAGGGTATGGGGTAGACTGTGCATTTAAAGCACAAATTGATGATAGAGTGAGGGCTGCTGCATATGCAAGTCTGGCCCATCTGTTAGGCAAAATTTGCACCAATCGAGATCAACTTTCCTTTCCCATGCTGTGTCACTGGGTCACCGTAGAAGAACGCAGTAAGTGTCTGTCGGAAGCAGCCGCAGAGGCCACTGGTGTCAACTGGCCATGGCAGTCGCCGTGGTGAGAAGTGGCCCTTTGTCCTCCCCATTCGCTGCACCGTGTCCAGCAAAACGTTTTAAAATGGCCGGGGATATGGGGAGAAGAAGAGAGGAGGCAGTGGCAGGGAGGAAGGCATTGTGCAATCCCTGTTACCTTTTGGATGTGTGGGTCAGATCTGGGCTGATAGATCACCACAGAAAGAGGTAAAAGCATCCTAGAGCAAAACATACATCAGAAGGCTTAGTTTGGTCAGAATCAAGTATACACGTCCAAACTTAATGCTAAATACATTGCTTCTGGTAAATGAGCCACAATAGCTGCTAGAGGGCAGTGAAAATTTATGTCCCTGGCTTTTTAGACCAATATACCCTCGTACTGTCTGAAATCAAAGAGGCTCATTGGTTGGCAGATGTGAAATATCGTGGCATTATTTTCAGCTCTCCTACTGCTCCTTAGAGATAGGAAAGGTAAGAGCGAAATAATGCCCATGTTTAGGGCTGAGTTGGTACAGTTATGTGATGTTTGGTTGAGGCAAAAATGCACCATGAAGGAGCATGCAAAGGAAAAAAAATGTTTCATTTTTCTTCTACAGGTATCATCAGTTCTGGAATATGGGCGCATAGTGATTTACACAACCAGCCTTCGGGTGGTTAGAACAACCTTTGAGCGGTGTGAGCTGGTTCGGAAGATCTTCCAAAACCATCGAGTGAAATTTGAAGAGAAAAACATTGCACTGAATGGTGACTATGGGAAAGAACTGGACGAGAGGTGCAGGAAAGTAGGTGAAATCCCATCGCTACCAGTTGTGTTTATTGAAGGCCAGTATCTTGGGGTAAGTACCATATGCTTGAATACCATCTCCCTACGATGCACATTTTACTCAATAAGCATGAGAAATAATCAGGAATGCATGTATAAAAACAAGACACAAATCTTCACCATTGTTTGAGTTTCTCTAAAATACAGTATCAAAAGGAAAGTAATACAAAGGACGCGAATCGATATATAGCAGTCATAATGAATTCAAGCAGAGAGACTTAACAAAACATGTCTAGAATAATGTGTAGACAAGATAAGAATGAAATAATTATATTTCAGAAGTGTTTTGCATAATAAAACCCAGTGGCTCTTCTTCAGTGGCCCAACCATACCTAAAGAGAACTGGCTGTCCTCCTGTGTCCATTAGAGCAATTACTTATTGTGAAGTCTTCAATAAACCGTTGCTATACATCATGCTGATTTCAATCATTCTTGTTCAGAAAAGATGAACCGTAAGTCCTCTAGATGTTTTCGTAATTTCTGGCCATCAATTAGCTGCTGAGCTCAGATCAAGGTGCTGGTTCTGTTGCACAAAGCCCTATACATTAGGGCGGGGTGATAATTGGTTTTCAACATTGTGATATATACTGATATATCATGATGTCTGAAATAAGGATGGAGCTATGTAGAGGCATTGGCTGGCTTCATGGCTTTTCCCATACTGTGATTTTGGCACAACACACACACACACACACACACACACACACACCATGATTTGTGATATATTGCCAGGTCAAAAATTATGAAACCGATATCACTATATGGACTTTAAACCAGTTTTCGATTATCGCCCAGCCCTACAATGCATCTTGGGACCCAGATATCTAAAAGGTATTGTGGCGTTCGTATGGAGCCCCTGGTCGTCTCACGGACTATTGACCCATACACCACTAATCCGCTGCCACCAACCAGGTCCTCCCTGGTAAAATCACTTCAGTCTCAGTCAGGTTCTCAAGTAAATAAAGAAGAGTGTATTTTATTTCTTTCTTTTTTTCAATTTTTTCAAATTGATTTTCCAAAGTTTTTAAATAAATAAACAAACAAACATCTTAGTTGCACTTAATCCAATCTTAGTAACATTATTAAGTGACTTCCTCAAATCCCCCGGCTGAATTTCAGTGTATATCATTGTAACAGTTTTCCAAAACAAATTTCTCGTAAAATTAACTTAATCACTTAACATCATTCTTTCTTCTCATTTGAAGAGTGTATTTTATTTCAGACACAAACAACGGCATTCCAAACGTTGTTACTCTTTACTTTCTTAGTCTTATTTTCCTCTCTATCTCTTCTACCTCCCCTCACTCAAGAACCCACTGCCCTGTCTCTCTATTTCCAACTGCCTGCCAACTGCTTTTCCAACTGCCTTTCCCAGCCAGCCATCCCACTAAAACCAACCAACTACCCACCAACAACTCTAACAAACCTCGGGCGAAGCCCTTTTATACACATGTAGGCTCCGCCTCCAGCTTTCCTATTGGTCTACATTTTTAACCCTTTCTTTCCCCCCGTACAGACAGGCTCTAAACGAACGGGCAAACGCCACAGGTATCTCTTAAATACCCAGTCAATCACTGCCCTCTTCAGGAGAGAGGCTCCTGCAGATGCCATCTCTTCAAGGGGTCTGTTCTATACAATATAGGAATCAAGTGTTTAGTGTGTAGTGACACACATCCTTTCAAATTAGATACAAGCCACCTCTATTGTATGCTTTAATTCTAGAATGATTGTCAAGCTGCAAGCGACCTTGAGGTCTAACTGCCTGCAAAGCAGGAATCATTGGGCACCTGAAGACCTTCCTTTTTCAACAAGAGAACTTTATCCCAGTCTGCATAAGCGCCAGAATAGTTTTAAGAGGCTTTTGGATGTTTCAATTGGATCACTTTATGTGTTTTCTGCCTTGGTTCCCCCCCTCTTTTTCCTTTTTAGGAGGAAGAGCAAGATATAAATGCAATTAACAAATAAATAATTTCAATTTACGCGGGGCTGATTCTGGGTCTGGTTCAGAGGCTGCAGTTAGCGCAGGAGGCCACGGCAAGCCTGCTTGTGGGGGGAGCTTGCCGTCAGCAGAAAACACCAGTGTAGAAAGCTCTGCACTGGCTGGCAGATTTAAAGTGCTTGTTTTGACATACAAAGCCCGAGATGGAAAGCGCTGCTCCTGAGTCGTCTGACGCTGTTATGTTGTTAGTACACTGTCTTGTTTTTACATTGTCGTATTTCAGCGTAATACTGTCTTTTGTGTGCATTTTGTTGCTTCTCACTTTCTTGAGCAGGCTGTTAATAACTGAAAGGATCAAATAAATAAACATTATTGTCGTAGCAAAATCTACGTATTTCACGTTACAGAGAAGTGTCCTAAACAGGCAGCAAATGGGCAGAGGTGGAGATGGGACGGTGCTCAGTTGTGCATTTAAGCCAATTGCGATGTGCGACAGTGGTTCTTTTCTGGGCTAATTAACACTGCTGTCTCTGCTTTTGAAGAAGAGGCAATTAAGGCAACTGGGCGAGCAATGGGTAACCGCGACACAGGTCTGCATCGTCGCCTGTCTTTTCAGATGTGATGCAAAATTATAACTGATAATGGCCGTGTGATGATCCCGATGATTTGGACCTGCTTCTCGTTGACACATGGCACGAACGTGTCATGCCGCTATGTGGCAATAACAGATGGCGTGGTGGGGCAGAAGCTCTCACCTGACCTCCCAGCAGTTGAGGTCCCGGGTGAGGTGGTGGTGAGGTCGGAGTGGTGAAAATGTGCAAGCTGAACCACTCTGGTACTCCTCCCAGGGCGCTTACACCATGCTGTCCTCCATACTGCCTGTTGGGATGCTGCCGGTGTAGCCTTTTTAGCCTCGGGTGAGAAGAGCTTTGCGCCCGGGATGGGGAAATGAGAGTCAACAGACACTCAAGGAATAGTTTCAGAGAAAAAGCTTTATTCTACCATCCGGGCTGGTAGAAGGAGCAAGTGTGATAAATTCACAAACAAGCACGAGTTCACAGCCATTTACACAGAGTATATATTCCCCTTCAGTTCCCTCCCCTTTCTCCTCCACCTCAAGAGTCCTGCCCCATAATGTGTTTCCTGAGCATGAACAGAAAGCTCCTGTCTTGGGACTCTTTTGGACTCTTGGCGCCCTTCCCAGGAAAGGGGATGAAAAGCCTTGCGTTCAGCATGTCCAAGATGTGTTACAACCAGAGTGAGATAAGAGTCAGTTCTCAGACTTGCTTTGACAGAGCCTATTCATTAGCTTTTTGGAGCCTTCTCGTACTGATAAAAGAATAACATTTTGCCTATGCATCTTGTGAGAAAGCAGAGGAAAACTTTAGCCGTGGATTTTTAGAAGAGAGAAAGGAATTTTGGACAGTTTTGAGGCCTGGTTGGGGGGGGTGACTTCGGGCCTAGGTGGGGTCACCTGTCCTCACCTCCTTCATTTGGGGAGTCGGGGGCATTTGGCAGGCCCCCAGCTGGCTCCAGCCACCGGCCGGCAGCCAGGCAAACACCGGTTCTCAGAACAGCATCAATCAGCGATACGAGCCTCAGATACGTTCAGAAGCTGTGCACGCTCTTATCAGCAGAGTGAATAAATCCTCACAACGGAAGTGGCGGACAGAAGCACATGTAAGCATTATTTACAAGTGTTTATCCAGCATCAGGAACAAAGGAAAAACATGTCTGCTTCCCTTCGTGTCCAGCAAACAGCAGTATACAAACGGAAGTTCCCAGCAAGCCTGTGCTGGAAGTAAACAGGCATGTGACACACAAGAGTCATGCCTGTTCCTTTTAAGGTGGAACAGAACTATATCCTAACACTGCCTTCCCCATGCTCTGACCAGTAAGCAGAAATGACTCAGTGGCCAGGAGGTCAGGTCAGGATCCCCATGGCAGGATCTGCTATTGCAACTATGTGGCATGGCAGAAAGACACATGAAAATAAACAGGCAGGTTTCAGACATCGTTATAACTCATTAGGTTTAGTTTTTTTGCAGCCACACTGGGCATCATCATGAGGGATGAGAGAGAGAGAGAGAGAGAGGGCAGTTGTTTGAGTCCTGGCTCTTAGCCACTGGCAGAGGCAGATTTAAGAGTTTGGGTGCAGACCCAGGGAGGGGGGGGGACACACAGGGAATACCACAACCATTACTTAGAATGGAGCATGAGAGGTGGTGGATGCCAAATTTTGACATCACACATGGTGCTGCTGGAATTTGAGACCTCAAGGTCCGCCACTGGGACGTCACTTAAAAGCCCACGCGAAAGGATGCGTTTCTCAAATGCTATGTTAGTGAAAACTCTTAAATCAGGTTCCCTAAACATCTGCAGAAGTCTTTCCCAACCTGGTGCCCTCCAGAACTTTTGGACTACAACTCCCATCAGCCTCAGCCAGCAGTCTGGCACCAGGTTGGAGAGCCTGATCTACGTTATGGATCAGATCTCTAAATTCAGTATCATCTGGTGGTTTTTAAAAATAAAAAAATATAAATGCTACCTACCTTGACTTTAGAGTCTAGGTTCAGTACAGGAGGTTTTTTTTTGAAGGGGACTAACTGAGAATGTCAAAATTCTATCATGCATCAAGGCCAACAAAATGCCATGTACGTACGTGATGTCAAAGGCTGTAGTCTGTACCATCAGAGGGAAGGGGCGTACGCTAGCCAAACCAACTCCTCCTTCTTCTTAACTTCACCACTGCCACCAAGTGGATACCTTAATTTCTCTCTTGTTTCCGCCACTAAACAGCCTATTAACCTTCTAGATTTTCACCGGCTCAACCTATGCTGGCATTTAGGCACAGGGTAAATAACAAGGTGTCCGACCAATTTTCTGCTAAGCAAGCCGTTAGACCCAAGTCTTTATTTTTCCTGCAATTTCTGTCAAATTGGTCCTCCAGCCTCATTTTGCAAGTCTTGGCAATGTTTTCTAAGCAGCACAGCTTGCCACCGTCACTAATGGTTGAAATGTCAGTGAGTTGCTTCTGAATGGGAGTCGGTGCAGCGGCCACAGAAATTTGCCACTTTCTGTCTGCAGCAAAACCCTACCTCAAGCTACCAAATGTGCGCTGTGAGGTCCGGGCTCCACAGATGGCATTCTCCTCAGTTCCATGCTCTTACTCACTGTCAAACTCTTTCCACCTACGCCCATCATTTTGACATCGCCTGACCTGTATGAGAGCTGCCAGAATTTTCTGCACTTTCTAGGCCAAGCCAAGGAACTTTGGTTGGGCTTGGGTGCATTACCTTTCTGATGCAGGTTTTGCGTGACGAGACAGTTTGCTTTTTAGGCTGCCGCATCAGTTTGGAAGAAAAGCTGCCTACTTAAACTGCAATTATGTTTGTCAGCCTACTTAGGGCTTATTAAGGCAGCAACTTACACAGTTTTTGAGTTACGCCATTTTAGGAAAAAGAACTAATTTGACTGTTTGAGCAAACTCATAAGAGCTAAAAAGAGAGAGATAAATGCATCCAAGTTTACCAATACACCAAGCAAGGGTGTATTGATTTGTATCTTTCAGTTTGTCTTCCAAGCCACTTTGTGGTCTCATTCTGGCTCTTTTCTGTTATAGTGCCCAGCTGAGTTCTCTAAGGCTTTTCAGTGTTTCAGCCCTTTTCTTCTCTTGCCTTTCTTCTTTTCTTCAGGTTTCTGGCTTCATCTTTCCAACTCTTCCACTTACTTTTGAATAACTGCCTTATTTTCTAACTCAAGTTGTATAAAACTTCCTCCCTCCCAATCAGAAGGAGAGTGGAGTCATGACTAAGATTACCGTATTTTTTACTCCATAAGACACACCCGACCATAAGACGCACCTAGTTTTTAGAGGAGGAAAACAAGAAAAAAAAATATATTCTGAACAAAACAGTGGATGTATGATTTTTGTGGTTCATGCTGTGGCCACAAACATGATTTGTGATTTGATGGTGAGTTTGGGGTAGCTCAATGCAAAAATCCTGAGAATCCATGTGGATCCGTGCTTTGTAACCAGGTTTTTGCTCCATTGTGGCCCCACGAAACAGTGGATGCGTGGTTTTTTTGGTGCAGGCTGTAGCCATGGACATGCTATGTGATCTGATGGTGAATTTGGGGTGACCCAATGCAAAAATCCTGAGGATCCTCCCAGGCAGCCTCCTTTATCGCTAGTGTCCCTTATCTCCCTCCTGATCACTTGTCAATCAGCTGCTTCCTTTCAACACCCCCTTCCCTCTTGTTTGCCAGCGTCTTTTCCTTAGCTGGAGCAGTGTTTTTGCTCCTCCTTTTCTTTTAATTTCTCTCCTCATTGCTTTAATCTTCCTGTCTCCTCTCCTTGCAAGCTCACTGTCTTTACCTCCCCCCCCGGCAGCCTCCTTTACCCGCAGCCTTATCTCCCTCCTGATTGCTTGCCGATCAGCGGCTTTGTTTCAACACCCCCTTCCCGCTTTCTAAAAAAAAAAAAGCACGATCTGCTTTTCACCCCTGGGCAATTTGGCTCCAGGGACCACGCATCCGCTCCATAAGATGCACAGACATTTCCCCTTACTTTTTAGGAAGAAAAAAGTGTGTCTTATGGAGCGAACAATACGGTAATTTCTCCTCAATTGGCAGTTGCCTATAGGACTCCCTTCACCTGCATAAGGCTGCCCATGAACTGAGATCAACTTCAGAGCCCCTGCTTTATGCCCACTGTTAAAATAAAATAGGTTGGCAGCAGGTACTCTCAGTTTTTGTTGGAAGGGGGCCAGGCCCCCTGAATGTTGAAGGGACAGAGCAGGCTGAGTATGGAGTTGAGTGCAGGGCCGCTTTAGTGGCTGGATCCTCCAGAGTGCTAGGCCTCCTCCAAATGATGTGACGTCATGCTTGCATCACAGGTGTGATGTCACAGGTGTGTGATGTGCACTGGGGCCCCTCAATCTTTGGGGAACTTGGCGCCTCTGGTTGTCAGGCACATTTTATGTGGCATGCGCCACCTCTATGGAACCCATTATCCAAGGAGATATATTGGTGATTTGAATTCAGGTCGTTTTTTTCTTGATGGTTTTATGCTGCTGCTGCTGCTCACATTACATTTTAACTGAGCTATAATGATGTGGTTTCATTTGCCATCAATGTGTTGCGCTTTAAATAGTGTTTTAATCTTATCTGCTTTTACAATTGTTTTGTGTATTGTAAACAGCCTTCTGAGAGTATATGCTCTGAAAGGCAGCCCAAAAATACTCCAATAAACACACACACACACAGACTTTGGGCGATACTTTTTAAAAGCCAATGAATTTTTTTTATGAGCCTTAAGGTAGTTCATGGAAGAGTTTTATTTTCTCTGCTTGAAAACCTGTATGCTGAGCATGATATAATTTTAGTTCTTTTGGACTGCTGGGGAAACAGCTCAATGTACTGCAGCTGATCTTATCAGATTGTCATGAAATGAATGCCATCTATTTATTTACAGAAGCACATTGGGGTCAATAGCAGAACATATAATCTAGTCTTTCAGAAGTATTCTCATTGCCTGGTAGAATATTGTTGGAATAAATTTAGCAAGCCTATTTTATTCTCAAAGCCATAAGGAGGGTGATAATATATGGATTATTTTTTTTAAAAAATGTGTTCTTTAGTTTTAGCCTTTATCAGGTTTGTTTTGTTATGCAGTCTCCTTTTTGTTACATAAGGCTCCTTGAATATATTGAAGAAATATGACCCATATTTTTATAGAGAAATTATTATAAAAGATGAAAATGAAAAAAATCACCCTGTGTTTCCTTACATTTTTAGCAGCAGCTGATCAATAAATCTGTCCTGTTTACCCAGTTCATGCCCTTTAACAGCAAGGAAAATAGCTTTCACTTGTGAGAAACCACAACATCCTGACCTGACTTGGCAAAATTGTGTGGAACTGATTTGAAACAAAACAAAATTATCCAACCCTGTAGCTACACAGGTATGAAACTCCTGTTGTGAAGACCTTTTCAAAAATCAAATGGGGCACTTGAAAGAATCTTATGTACAAATACATGTAGGGTAAAGGTAAAGGACCCCTGGACGGTTAAGTCCAGTCAAAGGCGACTATGGGGTTGTGGCGCTCATCTCAATTTCAGGCCGAGGGAGCCGGCATTTGTCCACAGACAGCATTCCGGGTCATGTTGTGGCCGGCATAACTAAACCGCTTCTGGTGCAACAGGACACCGTGATGGAAACCAGAGCACACAGAAACGTTGTTTACCTTCCCACCACAGCAATACCTATTTATCTACTTGCACTGGCATGCTTTCCAACTGCCAGGTTGGCAGGAGCTGGGACAGAGCAACGGGAACTCACCCCGTTGCAGGGATTCGAACCGCCAACCTTCCGCTCAGCAAGCCCAAGAGGCTCAGTAGGACCAGTTTAGAGACCACAGTCTCACAGAGCAGCTAGTGTGTGAATTACAAGTAGGACAGTCAGGCTTGCTGCAATTCCTTCAGTCCCAGGAGCTTCAAAAAAAGAATGCAGGAATCACTGCTATCATGTATAATCAGATACGGTTGTTCACCTTCTACCTCATCCGAGTGAGAGCCTAACAGAGCAATCCAAAGTCCAACTCCCTCATCTGCGGCACTGGGAAGGGTTTGGATGCAGTGGAGAGGCTCCTCCATGTTGACTCCACCAGACTCTTGACAGTGGAGGCCCCAATGCGGATGTCTCTGCTGTGCCTGCCAAAAGCGTGAGTGGGTGACAGCTATTGATGGTAGTGTCATTCAGGATGTTTCCTGGGGTAAGGAAGGAGTGGAGCTCTGGGTCCTAAATGGGTCCAGTTGCTGGTCACGGGTTTGAGGCAGGCCTCTTTGCTGTGCCCACCTGACACCTGAAAATATGGAATAAAACTGCTTATTAAAGGTAAAGGTAAAGGGACCCCTGACCGTTAGGTCCAGTCGTGACCGACTCTGGGGTTGCCCACTCATCTTGCTCTATAGGCCGAGGGAGCCGGTGTCATGTGGCCAGCATGACTAAGCCACTTCTGGCAAACCAGAGCAGCGCACGGAAACGCCGTTTACCTTCCCACCGGAGCGGTACCTATTTATCTACTTGCAATTGACGTGCTTTCGAACTGCTAGGTTGGCAGGAGCAGGGACTGAGAAACGGGAGCTCACCCCATCATGGGGATTCGAACCGCCAACTTTCTGATCAGCAAGTCCTAGGCTCTGTGGTTTTAACTCACAGCGCCACCCACATCCCAAAACTGCTTATTACCCAATCTTATATGCTAGGGATAAGGAACATGTGCTTTTCCAGATGTTGTTGGACTCCAACCTCCATCAGCCCCTGTCAGAATAGCTAGTGATCAGGGATGATGGGAGTTGTATTCCAGCAACCTCTGGAGAGAAGAGTGTACATATTTACTGAGGTTGCAAGTCAGTTGAATTACAAAGGGGGGGAAAACCGAAAGATGTCCTTTCCTTTTAACAATGAATAGTGGTTTCTGTTTAATTAAATTGTACGCTTTCTAATACTTCCTGCTGTATCCCCAAAAGACACCTGTTTTAAGGGTTTGCCATCAATACATTTTATCAATTAATTAGTAAGTTGAAAGGCAAAAGATTCATCAACTATGTTCTTCAAATGTGGTGGACAGCCTTATTGAGTCCACATCCAAGTAAGGATAAATCATCTCGTGGCATTAGCTTGCCTCTGTCCATGTTGTTAAGTGCACTTTAGTGTGTCTGTAACGTTTATATTGGCCAAGGGCTGCTTATATCTGAAAACGAATCATGCCCTCTGCTGGGATAACGATGAAGCATACATAATGAAACTATTTCGACTAGAAGGTTACGTAAAAAGGAGGCTGGGCGCTTCTTATTTCCAGGTATTGAAAGGTATTGAGAAAGGGGTGGGGGAGCCCTGACAAGGGCCGAGTGATTATAAACTTACAACCTGCCTGCCTATGCAAGTAGGTATTTTATTTTAAGGCTATTTAGAAACAGCAAACAGCTCCTGTACCCGTCCTTATGATGAAGCAGGTCAGTGCAAACGCAGCAGAACCCTGGGCCATCCCAACAAGACAGCTCGCTCTCATTTCCCCTGAAATCACAGAGATCATAACTCAAAGCACTAAACAAAGCAAGCAAGTTGCCAAATAGGCACGACCCGCTGACCACACTGCTTGCATAAAGCAGTGGTGGTAAATCTAGCAGTCACCTTAAACGTATGGTTACCAGATTTTGTTCAAAGAATCCGAGGACACTTTTTTTTTGAAAAGAGAAAAAAAGTTATTTTTAAAAAACATTTTTAAAAATTTTTTAAGAAGTAATATCTTTTCTTCTGTAGTCTCCTCTGTCGCATGGCCTTCCTCTGGGCCCCGGCCTGCTCTCTTGGAGCGCTAACCGCTGTGGAGTAGGCTCAGGTCAGACCTGGGCTCGGCCACTTGTCCTTGCCCTCTCCTACCTCTCTTCCTCAGCGGCGGCAGCAGCTCCCCTCTTTTTTCTCCTTCTTCTTTCTCTCTCTTCCTTCTCCTTCTCCTCCCCTCCTTCTCCCTGCATCGGCTCCGGGGGTTTTACTGGCCCCAGAGCGCCGCTGGGCAGTCACTCCCGGCTCGATTTGGGTCGTTGGTGTGTGTGTGTCAGCGGTTCCCCCAGTTGGCGCGCTGGGCATCCCCAGTTTCCCCTTGGCAGTGGCAGCAGCAGTCTCAGCAGCCCAGAGCCAGCTTAGTAGCGCAGTTGGCTCAGGTTGGCTTCAGGAGCTGCTCGCTGCCATGGCACCCGCCATTTTGCCTCACCAAAAGTCCTCATATGATGTGCCTTGTGCCGTTGAACCAATCACATAAGATTCATCCCCTACTAATAAATCTACAACACTTAAAATATAAATCCAGGGACATTAAATGAAATCTGGAGACATTCTGGGGACAGATTTGGAAACCATACCTTAAAGGCCCCAGCTTTATAAGAACTGCTGATAAAATTACAGTCGTAGCTTGGAAGTTGAAAGGAATCTGTTCCGGAAGTCCGTTCGACTTCCAAAACCTTCAAAAACCAAAGCACGACTTCTGATTGGCTGCAGGAAGCTCACTTCTGGGTTTGCAGAGTTCGGGAGTCAAAACGGCCGAGTGCCAAGGCATTTGGGATCCAATGTATGACTGTATAGGAAATCAAACAGTGCAGGCAAAGGAAGCCACCACTGACCAGCTGACTGGGCAGCTGGGAATGGTTTGAGGTAAAGGGTCTCATGAACCAAATTAGGAGCCCAAGGGTCAGAGGATCTCCATCTCTGGTGTAGGAGGTATCTATCGTATATTAAATGTCTCCCAAGAACACCACAGAAAGGAAGCAGCAGATGGCATTTGAGTACCGGAGAAATTTCGTCACTGAAATGCTTGTAGTATTGTATTTTTTTGTTTCTTCTGGAGAAATGTACTTTTCTTTTGTTCTGGTAAGGAAACACTTTAAATTGTTTAAAAAGTATTAAATCACATGGCTTCATGTAGCTACATAGAAAAGGCATGATCAACACTGCTGCTGTTATTTGCTGCACTTCTAAATGCGTCATCTTCGTTCAAAATGCACATGTGGAGCAGTAATTCTCAAGCATTGGGGTGATGCCTCTCTTGGGAGCAGACAGAGCGGATGTTAAGGAGAGCAGGGTTCCCTTCCCTTCCCTTCCCTTCCCTTCCCATCCCATCCCATCCCATCCCATCCCATCCCATCCCATCCCAAGGAGTAGACTGTTTTCAGAGAAAAGTTCCCAGCCTCATTCTCAGACACTCTCAATTTCAATAAAGCTTTTGTGTGTGTGTGTGTGTGGGCCTAGTCTCTGTAGGATCTTTACAACTTGAAAATGGCGGCAGCAGAAGAATGGCAGTTTCTCTGGACTATAGCAGTTAGAAACCTGAAGCCATGGAACTTGATCTGAACCCCTCTGCACCTCTTGATTTCACATACAGTACCCTAGCTCAGTGTAAAAGAATTGAACTACAGTCCTAGGGTGGATCTACACACAGGAAAAAACCCACGATAAATAAGTCAAAAATTAAATCGTTATAACAAAAGGGGAAAAATCAGCGCTATGGAAAATCACGTAGAATTTCTTTTACTCTCCAGCGCCATCTGGTGTTGTATGTTTATAACACAATCAAAATGCTATTTTTTTTACTAATGTACAGTAGGGAGTCCCTAGACTGCTTCTGTATACATGTATCTGCTGCATCTGCAAGGGGATGCATATCTTTCCTATGTATTCATTTGGGGAGTATAAGGTGAACTTGGAGACCTGACAGGTGCCCCAAGGCCCATTAAACACCAAGGGTGAGGCATCCACCATTGCTGATGTGCAATGGTGATGGGAGATCAAGGGGATATCAAAGTGATATACAGAAATTTAGGGAGCTGGTGAAGAAGGCTGCAAGGTAAATGCCTATCTATGAGAAAAGAGTCCTGCAAAGAGACTGGTAAGTTAGGAACTGTCCAGACTAGGGCTAGAGACTTGGGTTTATCCAACTTTTGTTTGCTTTTGCTCTAGCAGGGATATTTTGGCTTTTTGTAATTTGGGGGCATCACATTTCTTTCTCTTTAACATTTATAGCAATACCTAAGGAGGCTTCAAAGGGACCCCGGTTAACTTTTGGAGGCTGTTTGATAAGGAGCATTCTGGTAAACAAATGGAAGCTCAGTCCAGATCAGACTGAGGCACTGTTAGTGGGTGGTTCTCTAGACCAGATGGATGGGAGGTTGCCTGCTCTTGATGCGATCACACTACCTCTGAAGGAGTAGGTACGTAGCTTGGGGGTCCTCCTGGATTCTTTGCTGTTGCTTGAGGCTCAGGTGGCCTCGGTGGTGTGGAGGGCATCCCATCAACTTTGTCTGTTGGTCCAGCTGCACCCTTATCTGGACATAGACTAACTTCTATGCTCTGGTACCCTCTAGGCTACATGACTGCAACACATTATAGGTGGGACTGCCTATGAACAAAGTTCAGAAACTTCAGCTGGCGCAGAATTCAGTGGCCAGGTTGCTCACCAGGGCAAGACTGTTTGCATATAACGCCAATCCTGCCCTGGCTGCCAATTAGTTTCCATGCCCAATTAAAAGTGCTGGTTTTGACCTATAAAGCCTTAAACGGCTCAGGACTGCAATATCTCAAGGACCGCCTCTCCCCATATGAACCAACCCGGACCCTGAGATCATCATTTGAGGCCCTTCTTCGTGTGCCCCTTCCATGAGAGGTCCAGAGGGTGGCAACACAAGGATAGGCCTTTTTGTGGTGGCTTCCCCCAGTTGTAGAATGCTCTCTCCAGGGAGGCTCGCCTGGCGCCTTCGTTACATATCTTTAAGTGCCAGGCGAAAACGTTCCTCTTCTCCCAGGCCTTTGGCTAATTAAACAATCTACGGCCTTTTAAACGAGGGTGCGGGAGTTGTTATTATTTGTCGTTTTGGGATTTTTGTTTGTTTTTATATCGTAAACTGCCCTGTGATCTTTGGATGAAAGCTGGTATAGAAATCTAATAAACAAACAATCAAATTGACCCCTTATCGGAGGGCCCAAGATATGGGTACACTCCTTGCACCTAGCAACCAGTATATGCAAGTATAATCGCTCCCTCCCCACCCCCTGAATAATGCACACATTAAATACAAATGCCCTGGTAGTGTTGCTCAGTTCCTCAACAGGTTCTCTCTGATTAGCAGAAAGAGCCAAAGGAAAGTTTTATATCTTCTTTGGCAGTTTAATTTTCTTTACAGTAACCTTTTGTACTTTCAAGAAGAAAAATGAAGAACCTCTTCATTGCTGCCTTGCTTCAGAGCGCAGAAATTCCCCAGGGTCCTATGTACTCAACCTAAATTATTTTTATTATTCACGGGTGGATCTTGATTTTAGTGTCATAATGGTATTTTTCATCATCTTTCTTCCCCTGGCATCATATCCACAACATGCTCCAGATGAATTCAAGCTGGAAATGCTTGAACAGTAGAAATACTGTTTTTCTCATGCTCGTTTAGGTGTAGTCTCTGATGCACTATATGTATAAGAAATTGCCTCTTTGACATATTAACAAGGTACCTTCCGTTTTTTATTTATAAGAAAGCATATATTGCAAAAGAGGGGCTGGGAATTGCAGTGATCATGTAGTACAAGATATATGAGATACTGTTATGTACTGAAGTTCTCACCCTGGGCTAGCAGGGGGTTACTGTAGATAGTTATGCAAATGAAGGATCGAAAGTGTCGTTCAGTGATTGGATAGTTACAGAAAGTTGTTACAGTTACGTTGTACTGGAGCTCTATATAAGCAGGCTGACTGAGTCCTTCAGCTCAGTTCTGTTCTGGCCTCTGAATAAACAAGAGCTGTTGAAGAATCGCTGTGTCGTCTGGTATGTTCACCCACAACTTAATATGAGATACAATATGTAATAATCCTGTGTTCAGCAGCCAAAGCACACATAGGCCAGCTGAAAAAGTATGATGATATTGTGAATAAATTTCTTTTTTTTCTTTTTCTTTTTAAAAAGAATCTGTTTTCTAACTTTCAGCAAAATTGTCGAGACAAAAACTCCAACAAAGCTTTATATCTCAGCCGTTACATTAACAAATTTTGTCTCTTACTTTACAGGGTGCTGAGAAAATTTTGTCAATGAATGAATCAGGGGAACTGCAAGATCTCTTAACCAAAATTGAGGTAATTGATGAGGTTATAAAAGATGACACATTAAAATACCGTTCTCATACATTAGTTACATACATAGTGTTCTGTGGTAAGCTCACAGATGAATTATATTTTCTTTGTAAGGGAACATCAACATGAATGTCTCCAACCTTTTGCCCATTCTTCACTACAAGTATCTGTTGGCCCTACACTTGTATTAATTCTGGAAAAATAAATTTAGGAACATGGCCATAGGAAGGTAATATGTGGTTCTGCCCCGAGTATATATAATTGATGCCCCTGCCTATGCCACCCAACCTCCCCCAGCCTCTATTACACAAACTCAAAAGTGCCTCACATGGAGAACAGGGCAGCTCAGGCTAGAACTACCAATCACCCCAAACAAAATGGCCGCCCCATATCTTCCTTTCATTCTCTTCTCTGTCATGTGGCGAAGGCATAAAATTGTGCATCTTTGTTCTCATTGGGTCTGAACTGGTGGTGACAGACCTGGAATGACTGACATTCGGGTCAAACTGGTAGCTTAGTGAAGATGTTGACCCAGTGTGTGGCAGCTGTGAAAAAGTTGGGATTCTGTGCTAGGGATAATTAAAAGTTTAATCAGTATTATAAAAAATAATAACCAAAAAATAAAACTGTCAATATCATAACACCATTCTGCTAATCTATAGTGTGACCACACCTTGAATACCATGTACAGTTTTGGTCAGCTCCAAAATGACACCATAGAACTGGAGAAGAGTCAGGAAAGGGCAACCAAGATTATCACAGTGTTACTTGGCCTCTCCTGGCATGCCCAACGGAGGACCTCAAGGTCCATAAATAGCAACACCTTAGAGGTCCCGGGCCCTAAGGAAGTTAGATTAGCCTCAACCAGAGCCAGGGCCTTTTCAGCTCTGGCTCCGGCCTGGTGGAACACTCTGTCTCATGAGACCAGGGCCCTGCAGGATCTGATTTCTTTCCGCAGGGCCTGTAAGACAGAGCTGTTCTGCCTGGCCTTTGGCTTAGAATCAGTTTGATTTCCTCCCCCTCTTTCTTTTCCTTTCTCCTCCTATGAAGAGATTGCACCCTAATGTTTTAATTGTTTAATGTTGTATTTTAATCTTGTTTTTTAAGTTGTATTCACTCAACTTGTTTTTATTATTGGTTGTTAGCCGCCCTGAGCCCAGTCTTGGCTGGGGAGGGCGGGGTATAAATAAAATTTATTATTATTATATTTAAAAGAAGAGTAGACAAATTCATAAAGGATAAGGCTATCCATAGCTACTACCCACAATGGCTACGTTCTGTCTCATTGTAGGAGGCAGCATGTTGCTGAATACCAGTTGCTTGGAATCACAAGTGTGGAGAGTAATCCTGTCCTTGTGGGCTTCTTTCCCATAGGTATCTGACTAGCCACAGTGGCGTAGCGTGGGGGTGCAGGGGGGGCCGGCCGCACCGGGCGCAACATCGGGGGGGGGGCGCGCTCGCACTCGCAGCTCTCTGCCCCTACCTGGCTCGCTCACTCTCTCTCACTGCAGTGCTGGCTGTGCGAATCCGATGCGAGCCGCTGGGTCGCCGCCCACTGTGGAGGGGGTGGGTGCCAGGCGTGCGGTGCGGAGAGAGAGCGAGGGACTATCTGGGGGAGGGGCAGTGCAGCGGCCGCCCAGCGCAGCGCTGAGCGCGGGAGAGAACCACACCAGACCAGCCCAGGCAGCAGCAAGAAGAAGCTGGCAGCGGCGGCAGGTTAGGGGTTAGGGGGCGCAAATTACTTGCCTTGCCCCGGGTTAGGGGGCGCAAATTACTTGCCTTGCCCCGGGTGCTGACAACCCACGCTACGCCGCTGACTAGCCACCATGGGTCTTTGGCCTGATCCAACAGGGCCCTCCTTACGTTTTGTTTCTTATGTAAATCACAGCCATAGGGGAGCCCAAGAAGCCTCAGAACCACGGAGAGTGGAGGGATTTATCTGCAACCATCTGTTATAAGAATCTCAAGATCTCAAATATAGAATAAATATTCATAAATGCACACATATCTAAATATATGAACGTGTGTCTGAAATAGTGTGGGAGAGCAATCCTGAAGCCATTTTGACTCTCCCAGTGACCTCAGATATTCCTCTGCAGTAAGGGAGGTAAATGGGGAAAGTCTTCCCATTGTCTTTTTGCTTGCAGATCCTGTCTTAAGGGCATATTTGTGTATGCCTGTGACCTGGATTAACCATCATAAAAGAATGGCCAGGCTGCCCAGGCAATACAATCAGTGATCATTCTCAGGTATCCTGGCAGGCAGGACTTCTCCTTCTGTGATATATGTATGATTTTTTGGGGGGTGGTGGTCTTGGGCTACAGGGTGGGCAATTTCAAAAGTCTATATAAGGGCTTGTGCACCATTGTTCAGGGTTCTCCTCCCTCCTGCGTGTGGTGAGCGGGGACCCAGTTGCAACAGTTTTTTGTATAAAGATCAGGCTTCCTTGCCACTTTGCTTCTCAATATACTCTGGTTGGCCTCTGTGGACTCTATACGGGCTGTGGAATACCCCATAAGAGAAAGGGAGCAGTTTTTCTTATAACACATCTCAACAAAAAATATCTCCTTGAAACTTCCATTCCTAATTCAAGGGAAGCTTCCACTGGCGGGATAGAGGGTTCTCTTGAAAAACAAATAGCAGCTTCAGAAAGGTTTTTGTTGGAACTATGGGTCCTGAGAGTCATACAGTGGTACCACTACTCACATGCCCCTCTTGTTACGTATCAGGATGCGCACACGGCAAACCAATAATAATAATAATAATAATAATAATAATAATAATTTATTATTATTATTTATACCCCACCCATCTGGTTGGGTTTCCCCAGCCACTCTGGGCGGCTTCCAACTGAATATTAAAAACAATACAGCATCAGACATTAAAAACTTCCCTAAACAGGGCCGCCTTCAGTTGTCTTTTAAAAGTAAAATAGTTGTTTATTGCCTTGACATCTGCTGGGAGGGCGTTGATTTATTGTGCCACGTGTGTGCGCAGAACAGGCACCTCCAGCTGCGGAAACCTCGGGATCCGACCAGAGCTCCGGAAAGGATCCCGTCCGCAACTGGAGGTACCACTGTATTTACATAAAAAGAAATGTGTAAGTTACTTTCATTCTCACAGTTAATTCCCTGTCTGGTTTGGCCCTCAGAATATAATGCAAATAATGGATGCCATCTTTCTTTCTGTCTCTCCCCCCCCCTCAGAGAGTTCAACACCCTCATGAATGCCTCTCATGTGGGGGCTTTGGTTTTATTCCGTGCTCAGCGTGCCATGGGAGCAAGATGTCAGTGTTTCGGAACTGTTTTACGGACTCATTCAAAGCCCTCAAGTGCACCGCTTGCAACGAGAACGGATTGCAACGCTGCAAGAGTTGCCTCAGCTAAGGATGGCGCCTTGATACAAAAAACAACCTCATTTTATTATGTCAACGCAGCAGTTTGTTATACTATTTTATATTAAGGAAAACCACCATGTTTGTCTAATTCAGTCAATAAACGTTCATTTGTAAAAAATAAAATAAAATAAAAAGTTGCTGGAGTCCTTTATGTGGTGAGATCTCACAGTTACCTGAAACTCAACGTATAAAAAGCCGGTATAGTTGTACCTTGGTTTTCGAACATGCCTAGTTCTCAAATGTTTTGGCTCTCAAACAATCGAAACCCGGAAGTGACTGCTCCAGTTTGTGAACATTCTTTTGGAAACTGAACTTTTGGCGGGGCTTCTGCGGCTTCCAATTGGCTGCAGGAGCTTCCTGCAGCCAATCAGAAGCCACGCTTGGGAAGTCGAATGCTTTGGAAGTCGAATGGACTTCCAGAACGGATTCCGTTTGACTTCCAAGGTACGACTGTATAGTACATCTACAACAACAACAACACCTTGTGTTGATTAAATAATAGCTGAGCACATCGCTATGAGATTTCTATCAAGTTTGAAGACTATTCTAAGAGATTTCAGCAAACTGTAGATTTGCTGCCAAGTGCTCTCAAGGTGTTTTGGGCTACATTTCAACGTTTCAGCTTCAGAAGAATTGGGGTGAATGTCTGAGAGCAGCACACCTTTTGATGTATGACTAATCCCTGGGGGTTCTCATACGTCTACTTTTTAATTTTTATTTATGAAATTTGTATAGCACCCTATACTCGCAGGTCTCAGGGAGGTTCAAAGCATAACGTCACAATATAAAAACACAAAATACATAATAAAAATAAAAAACAGGAACAACCCAATAACCCCTCCTCTCTCTAACATGTTTGAAAAGGGCATTGGATGTCAGTCAGCCAAAGGCCTGGTCAAAGGGGAATGTTTTTGCCTGGTTTCTGGAACGAAGTCTAATTCTCCCATCAGTTCCTGACTATACTTCCAGGACCAACACTGCAATTTACAAGGCTCACGGAGGGGTATTGGCCCAACTCGCTAAGCATAGGATTTTGCCAGTAGCAAACTGATGGCACAAAGCATATTTGCTATGTTATCATTCCAAAATGCAGTTCTCTGAAGTTTGGGACAAGATTGCTAACCCCTTCCACGTTGAGAGCAAGCACATATGGCTATAGAGATTTACAATATAAATCCTATGTGCGTTTACCCATAAGGAAGTCCCACTGTAGTCCATAAATGCCTATTCTCAAATAGGGTGAATACGACTGCAATTACAGCAGCTGTTGGGGATATTTTCCTGCTTTGTTTGTTTGCTTGAAAGCTCTTGCAAGATTTTATTAAGTGTTACATAAGGTGAGGGGAGATAGAATGCATTCCATTTGTTGGTACAGGCAGGCAATTTCTTCCATTTAATTCAATATTCTTAAATGAGGCTCTTGATGTTCAGAACAGTTTGGTTTTATTTTTTATTTTTTTAAGAGAGGGAAGGAGGCTACTTTTATATTGCTTCAGGGGATATACAAACCTTTTCTTTTCCGGTGAGAAATAATACCACGAGAAATTGATTTCCATCAAATGTGAGGTGTCTGGCAGCTTTGTCATTTGAAAAGATCTATAACAGGCGAGATCCTGTCAGGTCCAACAACACACTAAATTAATATCAAGAACTTGCATTTCTATGGCCTTGAGAAGTTGGTGTGAAACCTTGGAATAGAAGGGCAGCTTTACACCCAATAAAGTAAACTAAAACTCTAACCAGGATCAAGTGAAGATGGCCAACATTGATAAACAGCGCAATATATGCTAAGGGATAAGATCAGCACCAAATGCAAATACACAGGTTCCCATAAACAGCTATTCTGAATGGCGTCTTTATTACTGCTCATTTTGAGACAAAGAGATACCAGGTGACAGATACAAATGAGTAACCACACCAATAGAATTTTCCTGGCCTGGAAATAATTTTACCCTCATGTCCCTTTGCCAAAACTGGAGGATGCAAGGACAGCTGAGCCATTCTTTCTATTAAGACTCATGTGTTCTTTCACAGTACACACTTACTTGCGTGGGGCCGCAATGGCGCAAAAACGTGGTTACAAAGCACGGATCCACATGGATCCTCAGGATTTTTGCATTGGGTCACCGCAAATTCACCATCAGATCACATGTCTGCGGCCACAGCATGAACCACAAAAATCATACATCCACTGTTTTGTTCTGAATATATATTTTTTCTTGTTTTCCTCCTCTAAAAACTAGGTGTGTCTTATGGTCAGGTGTGTCTTATGGAGCGAAAAATACGGTATGTACATGTGCAAGAATACAAGGGCCAGGAAGACCGGGAGGAAGTATGCCGTCAAAGGGAAGCAAGCAGCAAGCAAGGAAAAGGGGGAGGAATTAGAGTCCTTGTACTATCAACAAGTTGCTCAAAGTAAGGAAGAAGTTCTGAGGCTTTGGAGTCAGTTGGCAATGCTCTGGCCGGCTGGTGCTACGATGTAGATGGCACCTTGCCAGGCTAGCATACCCTCCAAGTCTCCCAGTTTCCCAGGGATAGTCCTGAAATTACGAAAGCCGTCCCAGCTTCTGATTTGATCCTGGAATGTCCCCCTTCTTAAAAAATAAATAAAAATAACACTTCATTTTTTTCTTCCCCATAACTAAAGGTTGACCCATTTTTCACAGGCACGGGCTTTTACGGAAGACAAATGAAACGATATTGTTGATGAACAGGTCTTCATCTTCTTCATGGTTAAAAAGATAACGGCAGAAACTTCATGTATTATTTCCGACCCTTGCTTTGTATTATGGCATGAAAGCTAATTTTATTCACTTAGGAGCAAGACACATAATATGACCACAAAAGCATTCGACGGGAAACATTTATGCCCTAAATAATTTAGGTGGTGGGAGAATTTCGATTGCTCAGCTTACTTTAAATAATTTAGGGGCGATAAGGAGGAGTATTGTAATCCAGTGACAATCTGCAGAATGAAAATTAGGGGAAATCATTATTTATGTTCATTCCCGACTCTCTCTTTCGTTCTTGATCTTGTGGGTGCTGAAATTGGGAAATGGTGGCATTTCAGTAAAGGGTTATGAAAAGAGCAATCTGGCCTAAAATGCTTCTGGCTTACCAGTCCCATTGTGAAAAATAGCTTTCAAATGAGTTTTAAAGATTTATGAAATCCAGTAAGCTCTTGCTAAAGTAATGGCACTTTGCAATGATTTGCATGTGAGTCCTTCACAGTCTCTGTGTTTCGATGTCCAGACTCCACACATCGCCTTTCGAAGGAGACAGCCTGTCTCTTGGCAAAGGAACGTCTTTTAATAGCCAATTAGCAGCTACCACATGCCCATGGAAAAAGAAATATTACAAGCCCTTGCAGTGTATGGGAGGAAACATCTCATGTGAATTTATTCTAGGCTGCTTTTTCAGGTGATTTGGTGAGAAGTTATATTTTGAATGAAGCGGCAAAACGTCACTGTGATTGCATTGATATTTAATGTAATATATCAGGGGTGACCCATTCCCAAGAGACTGCGATCTACTCACAGAGTTAAAAACTGGCAGTGATCTACCCTCTTTTGGGGGGGGGGGGTTAGGAAGGGAAGCCCTGTTCTGAGGGGTTCAGGTCAAAGTTGTTCAGCTTCTGTGGGGAGAGCCAGTGATCTACCAATGATCTACCACAGACGTCCAGTGATCTACTGGTATAATAATAATAATAATAATAATAATAATAATAATAATAATTTATTATTTATACCCCGCCCATCTGGCTGGGTTTTCCCAGCCACTCTGGGCGGCTTTCAACAGAATATTAAAATAAAATAATCTATTAAACATTAAAAGCTTCCCTAAACAGGGCTGCCTTCAGGTGTCTTCTAAAAGTCTGGTAGTTGTTTTTCTCTTTGACATCTGGTGGGACGGCGTTCCACAGGGCGGGTGCCACTACCGAGAAGGCCCTCTGCCTGGTTCCCTGTATCTTGACTTCTTGCAGCAAGGGAACTGCCAGAAGGCCCTCGGCGCTGGATTCAGTGTCTGGGCAGAATGATGGAGGTGGAGACGCTCCTTCAGGTATACTGGACTGAGGCCGTTTAGGGCTTTAAAGGTCAGCACCAACACTTTGAATTGTGCTCGGAAACGTATATCATGATCTACCTATTGGACGTGCCTGTAATATATTATTACGTTATTACAATATTACAATAAAGAAGTCAGTCCCCACACCCTCACTTTTTTGTGGTTGAAAGACATGCTGTGATGAAAGCTGTCTTCCAGTTTTTTGAAGGTTTTCTTTCTCTGTGAAAGAGGTTTTCACTCTTCTGCTTCATTCTCTCAGCAGGAGTGAAACTCTGTCAGCATATATTTGCTCAGAGGCCTGCACTGGTCGCTGATTTGTTACCAGACCAAATTGAAGGTGTCACTACTAGTCTGCAAAGGCCTTAGCAGCTTGTGAGCTCGTCTTATCCCATTCATGCCCATTCGACTGCTTTAGTCTGATGAAGTGGTGCTATCAATATGCACTACATAATACTCTTTCTGCCCTTCTATGAAATTGAATATTTAGTGTTTGCAGCATTTACACCAGGCTTCCTCAACCTCGGCCCTCCAGATGTTTTGAGACTACAATTCCCATCATCCCTGACCACTGGTCCTGCTAGCTAAGGATCATGGGAGTTGTAGCCTGATTTACACCTTTGAACTCCCTGCTGACTGACATCAAGCAGAGGCCTTCACTGTACTCTTTTTGGTGCATGCGTAAAACATTTTTGTTCTACAGGCATGTAGAAGCGATATGTGTTTTAATCTGTTTATTATTGGTTTAAATTGGTTTTTCATGCTTTAAAATGCCGATTTTTAATCTCTATCGACAAATTAATGGGTTTTATTTTTTGCAAACATCTTTAAGGTTTTACCACCACTAAGCAGTATATAATGTTTGTTAAATAAATAAAATAAAGTATCAGTTTATAGCAATGGGAGTTTAAAAAAAAGAGTGCAGGCAATATCATTTCAAGTAACTTTTTTTTTTTTTTTTGCAAAGTAGCATGAGCAGTTTGGGGGAAACTGTGGCTATGAACAGGCATGAAATAATTGGAAAGGGAAGAATTTAACAGT